AAAAAAAAAAAAAAAAAAAAAAAGAGAGAAGCTAAAAATGGAATAGAGCTATATGCACCAGCATAAAAGAACTCCAAGAAGTATTTTTATTACTGAATAAAGCAAGCTGCAGAGGCATACATAAATATATGTATGCAATCATATGTAAGTAAAAAATCAAACAAACCAAAACATGTGGTCAAACATATTCTTCTCAATACACCCAATACCAAATTCTTAAAGGCTTAAATTCTGTGAACAAAATTAAGATTGGGAAAGAGAAGAATAAAAGATTCTTGTATATAGACTTCTGTAAATTATTTTCCCATGTTAATAACATGAATTAACATATATTTATGTAATATTTACACACCTTTGTGGAAAAGGTAAAATATATTATTTTGACAATAGTCATCTCAGAAAACAGTTGTCTCCTTATGCTCCAAAATAGTAATGTCACTTCATTAAATTAACCAACAACTTTTATTAAGATTATAGCCAGGGATTTAGCTCAGTGGTTCCAGCGCCTGCCTTGCAAGCACAAGGACCCGAGTTCGATCCCCGGTACCAAAAAAATATATATATATATATAATTCATAGCCTCCTATTTACCAGAATCTAAAACATGGGAAGTGAAGATTATCTGCCATTATTACTTTAAAATTTAAATTAAATTAAGTATTAATCTCATAACTCAATTTTTTAAGTTTATTTAACATTTTAAACAAATTTAATTTTTTTAACATTGAGAAACACCTATAATCATAGCACTCCATAAAACTTCCCAATATTTTCTAAATAAATTAAAATGTCATATCCAAAATTTAAAAATTAAGAGTACCTATCAGCATTTCAAGATTCAAATTGTTTAGTTGGTATATTAAAAACCAGTGAATCTAAATCATCTTGGAGAAATATAAAATCATTTTTAATACACAAAAACAATGTATGTATCCCATGAATATTTTAATGGTACTAGTTATGTCAAGATTTTTTTTTTAGATCTAGTTGGTATGATAAAATAGCCTTCTGACTTTGAAGGTACCTAAAAATACATTTGATTATTTTTCTCTCTTCTCTTTGATTTAAAAAATATAAGTATGCTGCTATTTAACAAGAATATCACAAAAGTCTAAACCCTCAAAACCTCTAAATTAGCACCGTTCTTTCTTCTACCTCGAGCACATCCTTCACTAACTAGGACAGCAGGAACCAGGGTTTTACCTTTAACCAGTGGGGCTAGGGCTATCTGACATACAGAGGGACTGCGTTAATAAATTCAGCATCACAAGAGTCAGTTTTCTAACTGCTAGAGAAGGGAGTTAAAATATTGAAAGGACAGTTAAATATAAGGTTAGAACTGGAGTTATTGGTACGAACCAATCAGGTAGATAGATAAATAGATTAGATAATGATTAATGGATAGGACAGGTTGACAGGTTACATTGATATATATGGTTAGATTGATATCTAGGCTAGATCGACACATGATATAGATATAGGGGTGTTATTTCCTAATTCTGTTTCATAGCAGGGCTTAGACACAAAGACACTCTGGTAGATACAAGCCCACCTAGCACCCAGTTCTTGGTTTCTAAAAGCCATTTCCCACTAAAAGAAACCCGGAAAGTGTCTAACTTCAGAGCTGGGTCAGACAAAATACAAGATAAGCTTGGAAAATCGTGTTGAAGAAGAAAGTAGAGAAATAATCCTATAATAATAACAGTGTGTTAGGAAGACCTCTTGAAGGGTTCCCAAAGAACAACCTGGGACAATTTGAGCTCAATGGCTGCAAAAACTTGTAAGTCAAACTCTAACAGGAACAAGATACAGCTGATCCTCATTATTGGTGGATTTCATATTTGCAAATTCATCTACTTGCTAAAACCTGTATGTAGCCCCAAAGTGAAAGCTCAAACAGCCTTGCAGACACGCTCAGAACCACAGAAGTTTTAGTCATCCAGCTTGTCCACGCACAGCTGAGGTACAGCCAAGTGATGTATGCGCTGTCTTCCAGCTTCAGCCCCTGTACGGTGCGGCTCCTTTCACAGTACATTGTGCCTTTCTCACTGCTGTGTCTTTGGCTGGTGATTTTGCTTTCTTAACTGCCTGCCCCACCCCGTAGTGCTGCAGCGCAGTCTGGAGTCCCTGAGCACGGGTGGCTGTGATGAACTTAAGGAGAAACTACCTGTGTTTCTTGAGCTTCCTCCAGGCAGGGGTTACAGCACTGTTGGCAGCGATCAAAGTGCCAGTGAATCAACAATATGTATTAAATAAGGGGTCTTTACACAAAGACACACAGAAAGCAAGGTTATGAGCTAAGGGGTTGCTGATTAGGTTGTGACAGGAACTCACCCTGCATCTCCCCTAGAGCGAAGCTTCCGTATTTGCTAACTGCATGCTCAAGGTGACTACAGAACATAATTGCCATGGAGAATAATGAGAACTGGCTGGATTCACACAGCCTTAAAGTATTTCCCCATGAAGTGCTTCTAAGTTACTTATTGATTTACATTTACATAATACCTGTTAACTTTAGCATAGAGAAATCTAGCAAATGCAACCTTATCCAGTGATCAACGTTAACATGACTGATTACAGGACAAATTAAAAACACCTGCCTCCATTATGACATACTTTTGGGTGGGAGCCCAGCAAAAGTTCATGAATCAGGAGATGACATCAATCCCAAAGCAGGGGAACATTCTACGAAGTTAATGGCAAAAGGTCAAGGTCATAAAAGACAAAGAAGAGGAACTGGCCTGGCTTGAAGGAGACTGAAAGACACAAAAGCTAAAGACATGCGATCCTGGATGGACTGAATAGTGCCTATAGTTTACATGGTAGCACTGGTTCAATGTTAATTTCCCACTTCAGTTGCTGCCCCATAGTCTTGTAAGAGAGAGTCCTTTAACTCAGGAAACACACTGAAGTATAGGAGCCACCGAGTAACACATATGTGACTTCCTAGAAGAGGCAATGGTTAAAAAATCATTACAGGATAAAAGGTAACTGGCTATCGGTGTGACATTCTGCAACCATTCTGTAAATTCAAAATGATTTCAAAAACATAAACTTTAAAAATAATTAAGCTAGTGAAGAAGTTCCTAAATTCACAGATTTGCAACAAAACGCCTACTTTTTGGGGGGGGCGGTTGAAACAGGGTCTCACTATGTAATTGAGACTGACCTGGAGCTCACTATTTAGCCCAGGCTGGTTTCGAACTCAGCGATCCTTCTGCCTCAGCCTCCCAAGTGCTGGGATTACAGGTGTGAGCCACCACGCACAGCTTTGGAATTTTTTTTGTGGGGAGGGGTGTTTTTTTGGTTTTTTTGGTACCGGGGATCAAATTCAGGTCCTTATGCTTGTGAAGCAGGCCACTGAACCGCTGAGCTAAATCCCCAGCCCCTTTTGGGGTTTTTTGAAAATGCCTACTTTTTATGCTGAGGAATATATTTTAGATCAGTTTGTTGGTGTCATTTACAACTATGTCATTATAAAATCAAAGAGGTAATTTAATAGCACCATGAAAGAGAGATCATGAAATAATGATAGAGATAATCATTTTTGATCATCGAATGCTAACAAATCTTACAAATGCAATGGTAAGGCCAAGTTGACACTAAAATTAGGAAATGCGTTAGGCAATAGTAAAGTAAGAATAAAATTCAATACAAAGCACCATAATTGAAGAGAATATAATACAAAGAGGACTACATGTAGAAATCAGTTTAAAAAAAAAAATTAAAGCCGGGCATGGTGGCGCACACCTGTAATCCCAGCACTCAGGAGGCTGAGGCAGGAGGGTTGCTGTGAGTTCGAGACCATCCTGGACTACATAGTGAGTTCTAGGTCAGTCTCAACTGCATAGCGAGACCTTGTCTCAAAAAAAAAGAAGAATTATACCACTGACAGATCCTCTGCTCCCTGCAGATGGCACAAGTCACTGTGCAAGTGCACCTAGGCCGGGTGCTAAACTGCACCCTAATCACAACAGAGCTGTGCTGAGGTAAATCTGCTGTTGCCCAATGACCTGCAAACCATTAATTAAAGTTTCAAAAAATCTGTGACGCAGAATGAGTGGATTCTTAGAAACGTGACCAAAGCAGTGCTCGTGAGGAACTGGCTCAGCCTCAGTGAAAGAGACTGCGATTTATTCTTTTCCAGACTGTCAGAGACTACAG